CCACACCTGGAGAGCCACGGCTCCGGGGGGGACCACACCTGGAGAGCCACGGTCTGGGGCCCGAATATGGGACTATAGTACCAGCGAAACCTGGTCTCAGTGGGTTGACTCGGGAAAGGTCATTTCTCACTCGTGCCAAGGGGCAGTGTGGCTGAACGTTCCCCATCCTTCTTTCCAGCGTGGCACTTGAAACATGGGGCCTCCAAGGTTGCTCCAGCAAGGGAAGGAGAAGTGACAGGAGAGCTGACAGGAGGTGCCCAGAGCGGGCCACAGCTGGGCACAGGGCCTTGGACCTGCAGGGGGCTGGCAAGGCACAGGCATGTGATGTTTAGGGAGCACCAACAATCTCTACCGAAAACACCCTGATACCATGGTGGCGTGGCTGCTGGTGGTGGGGGTGTAAGACTGGATTTCACACCCTTTTAAAAAAATGGTATTTTCTATTTGGCACAGTGAATAAATGTTATTTTGCTCTCTTAAAAAAAATCTAAGAAGCTTGTTTTGGAATAACACACTACAAAGGCATTTGCATTAAAATGAAGATCCTTTTACTGGGATTTTTGTGGAAGATCATCAAACAGTGTAGAATTTCTTTCTAAAAGGGCTCATAGACTTTCTGAGTGGGATTTAATTAACATAATTACCAGGGCTTTCTAAGAAGCATTATCTATTTTCTTTGGGCCAATTAAGCCTTAGTTCAACCTTCCACGGTAAAGAGAGCGGCTTTCTAACCTGTCATATTGCCCCCCAGAGAAGCCACTATCCCCTGCCCTCTGCTGAAATCCCGCTTCTTTTTTATTTATTTATTTATTTATTTTTTGAGATGGTGTCTTGCTCTGTTGCCCAGGCTGGGCTGCAGTGGTGTGATCTTGGCTCACTGCAACTACCACTTTCCAGGTTCAAGCTATTCTCCTGCCTCAGTCTCCTGAGTAGTTGGGATTACAGCCAAGAGAGGGTTTTACCATGTTGGCCAGGCTGGTCTCGAACTCCTGACCTCAAATGATCTACCCGCCTTGGCCTCCCAAAGTGCTGGGACTATAGGCATGAGCCACCACACCCGGCCGAGATCCTGCTTCTTGCTAGGTGGGAGGGTGGGCAGGAGGGTGCAGTTCAGAAGCTTCTGGGCCCTGACGGAGGCAAAGCACAGCTTCATGGCTTTGTGCCACGGTTTCCCTCCTTGTCACTCCCCTTGCAGCAGACCGAACCTGCAGTGCCACCCTCCCCAGGGAACAAACAGAGGCAGGACGGGCAGGAAGGAGCTGCCCTGCTTCTCTCCGGGCTGCACAGCTGCTTCCTGGAGGCCCTGCAGAGTGCGTGGAGCAGGTGTAGGCCTGGCTGCAGCTTGTGAACTTGGCCGGCAGCCAGTGCGTCAGTGAGCAGGGGCTGCAGGCGTTTCCCAGGGGTGGACACAGGCACTGCAGAAGCCGGCGATCCGGAGGAGCTGGGCCTGCCACAGGCTGCCTGGGAAGCTCCGGGCGAGCGGGGCAGTTCCCCTCCACAGAGGAGTTCCAAATCCCCGTCACATTCTCAGGGATTGGTTCTCCTAGCCCGGCAACCCAGGAGTCCTGTTCCTCACACTGGCCCTCTGGGAAGAGAAAACCGAGTTCCCAGCAGGAGCTTGCTTTGAGCCGTGAGCAGGGCCCTCAAGGGCCTTTGCTCTAGCGCCTGTCCCGTCCCATCCACAGGCCTCCCCTCCCTCTACCTGCCCAAAAGCCGCTCCTGCCAAGGAGCTGGTTTTGCTTTTCCTGCGTCCCTTCTTAGTGCAAATTGTGATGGTGCGTGGTAGTCCCTGTCCTGTTCCAGGTGTGTCTGGGGCCACTGGGGCGGCCCTGAGGGAGACAGCGTGCATCAACCACAGTCTTGCAGTCCTGGCAGACGTCCTGGGGACCTTGTCGGAGCGCCTCGGCCATGTCCCAAACCAGAAGAGCAGACCCACCCACCTCCTTCAGGACTGCCTCCGTAACGCTTACCCCGAAATGCCCCAGGATGGGGACCCCGTACCCCAGGACACATGCACACACGTCCAACCTGTGTGTCCTTGAGGGCCACTCATGCCCCACTGCTCCTCCCATCCCCTCTCCTCCCACGGCATGGGTGGCCATTCTCCTGCGCCATCACGCCTCAGTCTGGTTGCCTGCTTGTTCGGTCTGTGTGTGACTTGCCTCACGGTGGGGGGTCAGTGTCTCAAGGGTGGCAGCTCTGGCCTCTCTCTTCATCAGGGGGGTCCCCCCGGGTGACTGAGGATCTCCAGGCTGCTGCTGCGCACATGGCCTGGGGCCCTCCAGCCGGGTGGACCTGCTCGGGCCGCCAGTTCCTCCGGTCTTTTGGGGGCAGGTGCCAGAGCCCGGATGCAGCAGATGAAGCACCGATGCCAGGTGGGGCGCAGGCAGCCCCTGGGGGGAGACACCCAGCTGCGGCCAGATCTGGGCTTGGTGGTTTGGGGGAGCTCAGTTAGTGCCCCTTCCCCCACTCAGACTCTGGACCGGTTGGAAGGGAGGACCCACCCGAGGAAGCATCACGGCCGCAGAATGGCCTCTGCTGGGGCCGGGCTTCCTGATGCTGAGGGTCCAGGCAGAGGCCCCCAGAGGCGGCCCTGGGCCCTGCAGACCCTGCCCGGAGAAAGGCCACGGCAGGATGGCAGGGGTGGCAGGGGCACGTGGCCACCAGAGTGGGGGCTCCTCTTTCCTGGAAGGGACGCCCTGGGAGGCTGTGGAGGGGCTGCTGGTGCTTGGGACTCAGGGGGCCAGAATGTTCCAGGCACTCTCCCTGTCTCTCACTGTAGGGCATTTCCCCTGTCATGGCCAACTGGCTTCCTCCACATGGTGAATAGCGGGGCTGTTCACTGGGTCACATGTTTAGATTCTGCCTCTAAGAGACCATGTGGCACTCTTGGATTCCAAAGCTCATAGCCCCCACAGAGAGACCGGGTGGCCTGGGCTGGGTGTGCAGCCCACCCGTGAGCTCAGAGCAGCACCGTGGGGTACACAGCGCCCGAGAGCCAGCAGGTCCCTCGTGGAGCCTGGGCCCCGGCCTCCGGGGTCTGCACTGCCCCTCTTAGCCCTACCTTCCCTCTCTGTTGTTTGTGGTTTCCATCTGTACTGCTTAACCTTCGCTACTGGTCCTGAAAACATGAAGAGACAGAATTCCCTCAGGAGGACAAGCCCCAGGATCATGACTCCTGCCAGTGGGGCCCGAGGGAGCTGCAGAGCTGTGGGCCGTGAGCAGCCAGCATCGGCACAAGGGAGGTTTGGAAAGAGCAGCCCTGGGGGGCTGAGAGCACGCCTCAGGGTGACTGTCAGACTCACTGTCGGGCTGACTTTTCACCCCTGTAATTCCCGGGACACAGGAGGGAGAGGAGAAGGCCTGCGGATTTCCTAGGTGAAGGGTACTAGTGATCAGCAGCTGACCCACCTGGACCCAGAGTCCCAGGAGCTGGCTAGATGCAGCCACTTTCGTGCTCCAGCACCGGGTGGCCACTCTCTGCAGCCGCCCGTCCCAGGCCCCAGTAGCTAGCATTTGGGCACTTCAAGATGCTGCTCTTTTTTCCAGCTTGCATGTGTTTCTTCTTGTTTAAAGGAGGCGATGCAAAGCTGCTGGTGGTTCTGTGCGTGTCTCCCAGCCAGAGGCACCTGGCGCAGAGGCTGCAGGGGCTGCAGGGACTGTGCTTTGGAACCCGTGCTCAGTGAGTCCAGCGAGGCCCAGCCAGAAAGAGGCAGACCAGCTCCCTGGCGGAGGGAAAGAAGCGGCCGGATTGAACGCAGCAACGAGCTTTCCTCCCTAAAAATGTGTTTCTTGTCATTGCTTTATAATGCATATGTGCACGGAAATGAACAGATTTGATGTGGACTCCATACACCTGGTTTTATTGCAGAGCGCCCTCAGGAACGTGGATGGGACCTCCGGCCCCTACCAGACCAGCAGGCGGGGCAGGTTCACAGATGGGAGACCAGGGGGCGGGGCAGGTTCACAGATGGGAGACCAGTGGGCGGGGCAGGTTCACAG